ATCTTTACTATCACTATCAGGGGGGAGGGGGTTACTAATACAAACAGGGATGGGAGCCTTACAACTAAATGCTAAATGACACATTTCTTATAGATAATATCTTGCATAAATTCTACAGAAATATTTTAGTGTGCTCGCTCATGCGCAGGCATCCGGCCTTACCTACTCCAGCCTAGCATCTTCTGGCCTAACCTACACACGTTACCCCCCACCTCTCCGCCTTATTGCAGCCAATCACCGGCTCTGTCTTCTAACTAGCCCCGCCTATCAGCCTTCTTGCAGCCAATCACCGGCTCTGCCTATTAACTTGCCCCGCCTCTCCCCCTTCTTACAGCCAATCACCGGCTCTGCTTATTAACTTGCCCCGCCTCTCAGCCTTCTAGCAGCCAATCACCGGCTCTGCCTACTAACTTGCCCCGCCTCCTCACCTTCTTGCAGCCAATCACCGGCTCTGTCTACTGACTTGCCCCGCCTCCCCGCCTTCTTACAGCCAATCACCGGCTCTGTCTACTAACTAGCCCCGCCTCTCCGCCTTATTGCAGCCAATCACCGGCTCTGCTTATTAACTTGCCCCGCCTCCCCGCCTTATTGCAGCCAATCGCCGGCTCTGCCTACTAACTTGCCCCGCCTCTCAGCCTTATTGCAGCCAATCACCGGCTCTGCTTACTAACTTGCCCCGCCTCCCTGTTTTCTTGCAGCCAATCACCGGCTCTTCTTACTAACTTGCCCCGCCTCTCCGCCTTCTTACAGCCAATCACCGGCTCTTCTTACTAACTTGCCCCGCCTCTCCGCCTTCTTACAGCCAATCACCGGCTCTGTCTACTAACTAGCCCCGCCTATTCGCCCTTCAGCAGCCAATGAGGTTATGTTGGGTCCACTCACGGTTGTTTAGGGTGGAGAGATGTAGCAACGTGTGTAGGTTAGGCTGGAGTAGGTAAGGCCAGATGAAGTATGATAATATTTAACATGAGCAAACTTATACGGGACTATGCATTAAGCAATTGATTTATAGGCTGCTACTTAAGGTTCTTTCTTATTCGTAAAGGAGGAAGTAATAAGTAAAGGAACATTCGTAAATAGTGTTGGGCATAGCTGAGGCCATACTTTCAAAACTTGCTAAGTGAACGTAAGTACTTACGCTCTATTTTCTTGTCTATGATTAAGTGAACGTAAGTACTTACGCTCTATTTTCTTGTCTATGATTAAGTGAACGTAAGTACTTACGCTCTATTTTCTTGTCTATGATTAAGTGAACGTA